TCGATACTCTGTAAAATTCGTCTCTTTATCTCACATGATATTTTGACTTGGGAATAACGAGACGTACGACGTGCTTTAATTTATTTTCAAACTGATATTGCAAACAGGAACTTCTTTTCCGCGGTGCATTATTGCCCCTTTTCGGGGTGAATAATTGGACGAGTATTTTTGCAATCGCGGCTTTATTTGGCGTATTGCACCTTGGAAGTGGTCGGAAATATTCCTGTGCTATTTGGTATGGTAATAATATATTTTTCGAGAAAGTATTTCAAACGACTCCATATAACAAGAACCTGAAATCCGACTTAAAATAAAATAAAAAATAAAAAATAATAGCTCAAAATTGAGGGTCAATGTAAATTTCATAGTGAAACGAAGTTGGTCGAAATACGTTCAATAGATTTTGTTAGGTGTCATTCATTGGGCTAAGTTTACGGGATTTAATATAGTAACAATTGTTGGTCTTGAATTTTGTGATAGGGCAACTTTGGTCGGGCTCATTTATGGTTATGCAACGGTGTTATCGACGAGCATTGTTGTACCCATGGCTTCTCATGCGTTGAATAATTTAGTCGGAGGTATAATCTGGCGCTACTCGTCTAAATACTCATCGAAGCAGATTGGATGACGTCTGGTGCATTCTTGCTTGTACCTTGTAAGTACACATACATATATACATATAATCTTGAAATCATATTTATTTTTTATTTTTATTTTTTTCAGATTTCACCACGTGTTCTATTTGTTTATATTGTACGAGAGTTGAGGTTTACTTTAGTATATCTATATGGTTGGATTCGGTTTCTTCATTGTACGACAAAAAAAGTATATTAGTTTCACTTGGCAATTGTGGTATTAGTAAATCTAGGCAATTGAATACATATACACTTGTATTACTTGCTCACAATTTTTTAGCAGTGTATTGTAAGAGAAGCAGACGCAAAAATTGGTACTGCAAATACTTAAAAAGCAATTTTTTAAGCCCGAACAAGCTTATAAACGCTTTTCAAAAGTTTTTGCAAACACCACCTTAATCAGTAATCGAAACGAATACCATCAATTTACGGCCGAAAAAAAAATCATGGACAAATCACATTAAATTTCTTTTACTTATTTATTTTTTTGTTACCCCAACACAATAAATACTACAAAAATTATAGTCAACTACATTAAATTTATTTTGCTTTGTTTTGTTCCCCAAACTGAATAAATACTAGAGAAAAAAAATATTAAATAAATAATAGAGAAGAAGAGGAAAACCTCCAACTAGACATATTGTGGGGTATATTAATATAGAAACTAAAATCAAGCATGAACCCTAGAATTACTACAATATTTGCAGTTTATATACTTCTCGTGACATTTTTCAATGTAGACGGAGTTAATGTCGATCGACTTTCATTCATGGTCAACACTAACGATGTTTCCTCGTCTAAAGATATTATTACTGTACAACGTACTGTTTCTCTTCCCCTCTCTCTCTCTCTTCTCTCTCATGATTTTGTTCGAATAATATATGTTCGGATGTTCTTCTACGCGATATTCTACTCTATTTTTTTCTAATTTGTTTTGACGATTTTAGAGTATTAATTGACTTGTTTATGACGGATTATGAATAGCATGCACAAGCACTTGTGAGGTCGCGTGTTGTTACTGCAATATACATCGGAATCCTCCAGTATGTGAGAAGTGTTGTGCACTACCACCCGCAAAAGATTAAGCCACCGCTGGAGAATGAATACGCTCCGAGATTTGATATTGTATCGGTCATATATAATTTATCCAAACAAATTTGACGAATACAATAGAGTCAAAGAATTTGACTTGTTATCGGTCATTTTTAATAGAAAAAAGTATTTGTAACGGATATGAATCGTTAGAAAATACTCCCTCCGTTTCAAATTAACTGTCACTTATCTGTTATTTACAATTGCAATAACGCATTAAACACCATTTTATCAGTTTTGCCCTTATCATTTTTAATTAGTAGATACAAAATTAATCAAAATAGTATAATGGCATGGCTATTTGTCATCAGTAATGATTGTTGGCCAGAATCTGGCTGGCCAAAAAATGACTTGTTATGTAATTATGTGAAAATTAATTAGGTCTAATTACTAATTTGTCCTTAAATTATGTATTTGAATTTAAAATTACTCCCTCCGTCCCAATTTAAATGACGTTTTGGGTTGTTGCACACATATTAAGAAAATCAATAAATGTGTATAGATTATAGTGAAAAACATAGGAAAATACTAATATATCCTTGACATTAATTATTTTATAAGTAACTAATTAGGAGTGATAAAAGGGTAAAATTGAAAATAGTACAATTAATGATGCATTGAAAATCTAAAATGACGAATAATTTGGGACAAAAAAAAACTCTCTAAAAAGACATATAATATGACATAGGGAGTATTTGGTTTATCTTCCACATTTAATGTG